ACAAATTTTCAGATGTGAACCAGGTGGAGAAAGGATAAGGCAGTAGTATTAAAAAACTGGAAAAGGCTTCAATGTCCATACAGAAAAGTTACTGAATAAATAATAACATAAATAATTATTTATCATAGCATAAATAATTAGGTAGAAGACTGAAAGAGTAAGCTAGATATAGTCAAGCAAACATAGAAACGTCATCTAAAACATACTATGAAGTGGAAGCAAAAGTCAGAAATCAATACTGCACTGAAATGTGAATTATGTATATTTTAACTATGTATGTGTGTACACATGCAAAGAAAAAGGGTTGGAAGGACACACACTGAATTTTAGCAATGGTTGCTTTTGGCCAGAACAGTATAAGCGAGAAGGGTTAAGGAAGACTCAAGCTTTTCTACTCTGTATTTGTTCTTTAGTATTGTTTCTTTAATTTTTACAATAATATATTTATATTACTTGTATAGTTTTTAAAACGTAATACTTTCATCCAATAAAGGACAAAGAAAATTTGGATGCATTTCATTCTCTGCTTTTCTTCCCAAAGAATTTAAACAGGTTCAGAATCTACTAAACTTTCAAAATGTAGGATTTTTTTCTACAGTGAAAAAGCTAAAAGGCACAGAAAAAGAAGAGGGATATGTTCATCAGAGCTTCTCTAACATCATCAACAAAGGCACCTTCATCTATTAAAATTTCTAAAAATATCTTTTATTCCTTCTTTATTATGTGGTATGTGGTTGGGCCACCACTCATCTGTCAGTTTGTCATACTGTGGTGGCTTGTGTGTTGCTGTGATGCTGGAAGCTATGCCACTTGTATTTCAAATACCAGTAGGGTCACCCATGGTAGACAGGTTTCAGCGGAGCTTCCAGACTAAGACAGACTAGGAAGAAGGACCTGGTTATCTACTTCTAAAAAAAAATTGGTCAGTGAAAACTTCAAGAATATCAACAGAACACTGCATGGTATAGTGCCAGAAAATGAGCTCCTCGGGCTGTAAGGCACTCAAAATACACCACAGAAAGAGTTGCCTCCTCAGAGTAGAGTTGATCTTAATGATGTGGACGGAGAAAAGCTTTCAGGAGCTTCATCTACTGATGTGGCACAACTCAAAATGAGAAGAAATAGCTACAAATATCCATTACTAATCAGAACATAGAATGTATGAAGCACGAATCTAGGAAAATTGGAGGTCATCATAAATGAAATGGAACATATAAACATCGATATCCTAAGAAATTAGTGAGCTGAAATGGACTGGTATTGGCCATTCTGAAATGGACAATCATATGGTCTACTATGCTGGGAATGACAAATTGAAGAGGAATGGCATCGCATTCATTATCAAAGAGAACATTTCAAGATCTATCCTGAAGTACAATGCTGTAAGTGATAGGATAATATCCATATGCCTATAAGGAAGGCCAGTTAATAGGACTATTACTCAGATTTATGCACAAACCACTAAGGCCAAAGATAAGAAATTGGTCAAACATACAATCAAGATGCATTGGTAATTACTGGGTACTGGAATATGAAAGTTGGATACAAAGAAGAACAATCAGTAGTTGGAAAATATGGCCTTGGTGACAGAAACAACGCCAGAGATCACATGATAGAATTTTGCAAGACCAATCACTTATTCATTGCAAATACCTTTTTCAACAACATAAACGGCGACTATGCACGTGGTCTTCACCAGATGGAATACACAGGAATGAAACTGACTACATCTGTGAAAAGAAATGATGGAAAAGCCCAATATCATGAGTCAGAGCAAGGCCAGGTGCGGACTGCAGAAAAGACCATCAGTTGCTCATATGCAAGTTCAAGTTGAAGCTGAAGAAAATTACAAGTCCACAAGAGCCAAAGAATGATCTTGAATGTATCACACCCGAATTTAGAGGCCATCTCAAGAATAGATTTGATACACTGAACACTAATGACCAAAGACCAGAAAAGTTGTGGGAAGACATCAAGGACATCATACGTGAAGAAAACAAAAGGTCATTAAAAAGACAGGAAAGAAAGAAAAGACCAAAATGGATGTCAGAAGAGACTCTGAAACTTGCTCTTAAATGTCGAGGAGCTAAAGCAAAAGGAAGAAATGATCACGTAAAAGAGGTGAATGAAAGATTTCAAAGGGCACCTCGAGGAGAGAAAGTAAAGTATTATAACAAAATGTGCAAAGACCTGGAGTTAGAAAACCAAAAGGGAAGAACACACTTGGCACTTCTCAAGCTGAAAGAACTGAAGAAAAAATTCAAGCCTCAAGTTGCAATTCTGAGGGATTCTATGGGCAAAATATTGAATGATGCAGGAAGCATCAAAAGAAGATGGAAGGAATACACAGAGTCACTGCACCAAAAAGAACTGGTGGACATTCAACCATTTCAGGAGGTAGCATGTGATCAAGAACCGATGGTACTGAAGGCAGAAGTCCAAGATGTACTGAAGGCATTGACGAAAAAAACAAGGCTCCAGGAACTGAAAGAATATTAATTGAGACATTTCAACAAACGGATGCAATGCTGGAAGCATTCACTTATCTATGCGAAGAAATCTGGACAACAGCTAAACCTGGCCAACATACTGGAAGAGATCCATATTTGTGCCCGTTCCAAAGAAAGGTGATCCAATAGAATGGAGAAATTATCAAACAATATCAATATCATACACAAGTAAAATTTTGCTGAAGATCATTCAAAAACGATTGCAGCAAAATGTCAACAGGGAACTACCAAAAATTCAAGCCGGATTCAGAAGAGGATGTGGAATGAGGAATATCACTGCTGATGTTAGATGGATCTTGGCTGAAAGCAGAAAATACCAGAAAGAGTTTGTATTTTATTGACTATGCAGAAGCACTGACTGTATGGATCATAACAAATTATGGATAACATTGTGAAGAATGGGAATTCCAGAACACTTGATTGTGCTCATGAGGAACCTCTACATAGACCAAGAGGCAGTAGTTTGAACATAACAAGGGGATACTGCACGGTTTAAAGTTAGGAAAGGTGTGTGTCAGGGTTGTATCCCTTCATACGTATTCAATCTGTATGCTAAACAAATAATACGAGAAGCTGGACTATATAAAGAAGAACATGGCATCTGGATTGGAGAAAGACTCATTAACAACCTGCGATATGCAGATGACATAACCTTGCTTGCTGAAAGTGAAGAAGACTTGAAACACTTACTGATGAAGATCAAAGACTACAGCCTTCAGTATGGATTACACCTCAACATAAAGGAAACAAAAATCGTCACAACTGGACCAATAAGCAACATCATGATAAATGGAGAAAACATAGAAGTTGTCAAGAATTTCATTTTACTTGGATCCATAATCAACACCCACGGAAGCAGCAGTCAAGAAATCAAAAACGTATTGCATTGGGCCAATCTGCTGCAAAAGACTTCTTTACAGTATTGAAAAGCAAGATGTCACTTTGAGGACTAAGCCACGGTATTTTCAGTTACCTCATATGCACACGAAGCTGGACAATGAATAAGGAAGACCAAGGAAGACTCAAGAAGAATTGATGCCAGTGAATTATGGTGTTGGTGAAGAATATTGAATATACCTTGGAGTGCCAGAAGAACGAACAAATCTGTCTTGGAAGAAGTACAACCAGAATGCTCCCTAGAAGCAAGGATGGTTGAGACTTCGTCTTACGTACTTTGGACATGTTATCAGGAGGGACCAGTCCCTGGAGAAGGACATCATGCTTGGTAAAGGGTCAGCAAAAAAGAGGAAGACTCTTAGCGAGATGGATTTACACAGTGGCTGCAACAACGGGCTCAAGCATAACAACGATTGTGAGTATGGCACAGGACCAGGCAGTGTTTCATTCTGTTGTACACAGGGTCACTATGAGTTGGAACCGACTCGATGACACCTACCAACAATGTGGCTGGGGAGAAGTAACAAGAAATAGGATGGTTTCCTGGTTAAAATTCTTTACTCAAAAATGTAAAGTGACAATGTGGATTTTCTCCCTAATAATGCAGATATTCTATCTTTAGATCAATGATTTTCAATTGGGTGTGATATTTGTCCCCCTAGGAATATCTGTAAATATTTGGAGACATTTTTGGTTTTCATAACTAGTGGAGGGGATGCTACTGGCATCTACTGGGTAGAGGCAGGGATACTGCTAAACATCCTACAACAAATCAGCCTCCGAAAAAAAGAATTATTCAGTCCAAAATATCAAAACACTGTCAAGGTTGAGAAACTCTGCTCTAGATCTAAAACACTAGCATTATTTTAAATACTCAAAAATTATTTTCAAAAGTAAAAAACAATGATATATTTATTAGATTTAAATGATTCTTTTATAAGTAGAATTATGTAAAGAGTATAAGTTTAAACATACAGGTTTTACAGTCCTACAAATTCAAGTTAGAATCCTGACTGCCAACTTTGTGACCTTAAACAAGTTAAATTTTCTGCTTCAGATTCCTCATCGGCAAAATTGTGACTAAAACATATACCTCTTAGGATTACTGTCAAAATTAATCAGTTAAACCCCAGCGCCCTGTCCACTACCTGCCTAACACACAGCAGAAAATCAATATTAGTCTCCATCCTTCTCCTGTTATTTCTCCCCCTGCCATCAACCCCTATTAGGCCAAATTATAATCATGGTCTCATCACAGAGTTTTCATTGATACGATTCATAAATTTGAAGAGTAATGTGATACGTAACATATTAAACAGTATCATGATAGAAAATAAGTAAAAGTATAGGGATTAAACGTTTATTTGAAAAGACTTTAGTCACACTCATTTTAAGATAAGCTAGTATAATAACTTTAAACACATCCATTTGATCAAAAAGCTACATCCACAATCTTTAATCACCTTAAAAACCAAAATAAAGGTTAACAAAGTTATAAAAAGGGAGGAACAAAGCAAAGGCAGGAATAATGGATGTAAGACTCTAATTCTCCAAGACCATTTATCCTGGGCAGAGGATAATGAAGGGACCTACTTTGGTGGTAATCCTATATGTGATGTAGGTCTCCATCGTACACACATGCTTCTTGGGATCATCAACTGTGACAAAGAGATCTCTGGTCTCACCATCAATGTCATCATCAAGCTGAAGTCTGTTAAGAAGGGAAGATGAAGAAGCTGGACTTGAAGTGCCTGCTGGAGTACCACCATTGGGCAAAATGAGATCCTAAAAGAAGAAAAAAATTATCTTAAAAATTAAATGAAAACACACATCTGGAGAACATCAGCAAATGCAGCTAGTTTAGCCAAACCAAGCAGCACTCTTGAATACATAAATGAACCAAGTAGCATTCTGGAATACGTAAGTGACTTTCAAAAATTCTAAGCTTCTCCTTACTCTACGTTCCTTGAGTGAATGTGTCTTTTATGATCAGTAAAAACTATCACAGTGCTCTATAGCAAATTCACACCAATTCATCTTCCAGCAAGCACTGGAGGAACCAATACAAGCAAACCAGTAAAATATACACTAAGTGAAGCTAAAGAGAACCAAAAACACAGTTTCTTCAATAAATAAATTGCAAGAAAAAAAAAGAGACAGCAATAGGAGGAGCACCGATAGATGAAAAGAAACTTAAGGGACATATTAACAATTTGCAATGACGTAACCTTATTTAAATGCTGATTAAAACAAAAGGTAAAATAAAAAAATTGTGTGATATTCAGGGAAATGTGAATATCGTTCTGTGATATGATGATACTAATCATTAGCTGTAATAATAGAAGTATGATTTTACAAAAGTCTTCATCTTTTAGAAATATTTAAGAAAGTATAGATGAACTGATATGATGTCTGGGATTTGCTTCAAAATAATGCAGTATGGATAGTGTAGGAAGGGATATAAATGATACAAGATGCCCACGAGTGACAACTGTTGAAGATGGTACTTACAGTTATCTATTCTTCTGCATATGTTCTAAATTTGCCATTATAAAAAGGGTTTTAAAAAAGAAAAAAGTGGAAGGGCAGATGCCAGGAAAGAAGGAAAGGGAAGATGAAAAATTATAGACCTTTACCTTTAGGGGATAGTAGGAAGACACCTAAATAAATTATACCCATGCGATATCCCAGAAGGGCTGCAAAATTTAAAAGACCCCGTCTTTAGTTACCTTTTTTGATTTTCAGATTTGACAACAGAACAGAGCCCTGACTAGCTATAAAAGGCCTCTGAATGTCACTTTGGAATCTTTAGGACATAAAGACTAGGAGATATGGCAAGAAAGTGACAGGATACCATAAAAAAGGCCTTGGTCAGGAATGCAGGAAAATATTCTTGAACTCTAGGTCCTCAGACAACAGGTTGGGGATGGAGAGGTGCTTTCCCCTGAATTCTCTCTTCTTGTAGCCATCCAGGTTGGATATAACGTAACTGCTAGTCAAGAGAACATACAGGAAGTGGGAAGTCTATCTAGCAGTCATATTCACAAGCACCAGTTGATCATGGAACAGCTAGAAAAGGGCTGGGACAGGCAGAGGGAAGCATGATGTGGAGTCAAGAGTAATGTCATGCAAATTGGTGGGTGACGGCCAAGTACACAAAAAAGGTACCTTCCTTTGCCTTCCATCTCCACTGACCATAGATAATTTAATCACATACTTATGCCAAGTCAAAAAATATACATATTTATAATTACTGGAAGGGTACCATTTTCACAGAAGGTACTCATGGGAGCAGATGCCTCCTCCCCTCCACTTCTTCTCAGCTATGTTTCTAACTACATGGCAGATCCATGAGCTCATTAGCTGAGAAGTCAGACCCTTCGGCAGCTATTCCTGGTGTGGACATGACTGCAGAACCTGCTACAGCAGAATCTGGCCAATCTGACTGCTTTCTCAACATGCGGTCCCCAGGACACGTGCTGCCAAAACCCCAGTGTCTGGGGATCTGGGAGGGGATATCATCTTCTCTGCAACTGAGATAACCATCACATCTTCATCGTTTCAGTAAATATACAAACACTGACCTCACTGAACCTCAGAACAGCTCTAACAGTGGCTAAACATTGCACAAAATAAATAATTCAAAGTCTTTAAGTCAGATAAACCACCATCAGCTCAGATTGGGGCTTTCCACAATGGCCTGGACTGATCTTAGCAGCCATGTTTTTCATCATTCCTCATGTACACCCTTGGCACCAGTTCCCAGAACCCACCATGCTGTTTCATATTTCATACCCCTCATCTTTGCTTGGAAAGCCCTCCTCCTTTTTTTTTTTTTTTAAACATAGAGGTCTCCAAACAACTTGCTCAGATCTTCCCCCTTTTGGAAGCCTTCCTTGACCCCACCCCTGGCAGAATTAGTCACTTCTTTCTCTATACTTTGAAAACACTGAAGCAATTACGACAACTCCAATAATTTATTTACACGTCTAACTTATCCATGAACATCGTGAGCCCCCAGTGACTGGAACTGGGTCTTGTTCATCTGTGTGTGTGCATGTGTTGTGGGAGTGGGTGTAATTATCTGTCCCCAGGTCTAGGAATGACTCCAAGCCAACTCCTCTAACCTCTGCTCTAGAGACTTCAGTCAATAACTTTCTAGGAACAGCTTACACAGAGATCTGAAATGTCTTAGCCAGACAGTTTGAAGTTAAGTAGTTCTCAAATCAGTTACTGGGGTTGGAGGAGGGGAAGAGTCTGTCAATCTTGTTGCATAATCCAGACTCTTTCTTGTAGACTACACAGCTAGGGAAAAACCCACACCCCTTATTCTGGGGTGTTCCATGGAATATTATCGAGCATAAGGGTTTAGCCTACGAACTATAAATGCCTGTCATTTTGTAAGCTATCCCCTCAGTTTCCCATGGCATGACTGGGCACGATGCTTCTGTGTTCTTATTCCACTGTACCTCATGACAACCTTGTGAAGCTATCAGGCCAGATATTATCTCTACAGTTGAGGAAGCAGACTTGACAAGGTTAAGTAACTCACCAATGTATTGAAGCTAATAATTGCTGTGCCAGGGGTTTATGGTTCCTAATTCAGGGTTTCTTAACAAGCTGAATGCCCTTTGTGTGTTTTTTTCCAGCCCAGTACTGCCCCCTCATCTCCATTCTCTGGCCATAAATCCTTTGTGGTAAACAAGAAGATTCTGCTTTCTAAGTCAGCCAGGGAAAGCTAACCTTTACCCTTAGGGTCTTAAAATACAAGTTACTCCACAAATGACTCCCCTCAAGATACAGTCCCCATGAGAAACAAACATGAAGGGAAGACTATGAAAACCTTAGGGGGAATGGGCAGGAGGTCAGCGGATCTGAATGGCCCAGGCTCCTCTGCCCATTAGAGTCTTCCAGCAACCAGGTCTGCTATGCTAAGGGCTCTGAGCTCTAGAGCAGGGATTAGGTGGTAGCAGCACCTTTATGAGCAACATGAATTAGAAATGCTAGAAGCCTAGGAATCCCTTGCCTTGACACAAATGCCTCCTGTTTTATTTTTACTAGCCTGTAGTCAGCTCTATGAGTTGGAATCAACTCAACGGCAATGGGTTGGTTTGGTTAGTCAGTTCTCCATACTGCAGCCAGAATGCTCTTCTAAAAATGTAAATCACATGTCACTCCCATCACATTCAGAGTAAAATCCCAACTCCCTACCATAATCTCCAAAGCCCAACACAATCTGGCCCTTATCGCTCTCTATGATCTGATCACTGGCATTCTCCCCCTATTCAACCTACTCTAGCTACAATCTGGTCTTCTGTCTGGCCCCTAAACTGGTCAGGCTCAAACTGATCAGGCTCATTCCGACCTCAAGGCCTTTGGATTTGCTGTTCCCTCTACCTGCAACACTGCCCACCCCCGCCCCGATTCCTATGTGGCTGGCTCCTCTCTCCAAATAGGTTTCTGCTGAAATGACACGTACTCAGAGAGGCCTTCTCAGCCCATAAAATCTGAAAATATCCATGCCCTCTCCATCACTCTCTAGCCTCTTCCCTGCGTTTATTTTCTTCATGGGACTTATTACTACCTGAAAATTTATTATATATATTGGTTGACTGATTGCTGTCTGATTCCCCCCAACTGTATATTCCGTAAGAGATCTTATCTTGTTCACTGCTCTGTCCCCTGTCGTATAGTAGGCACTCAGTAAGTACTTCATGAATGTATGAATGAGTTTTAGAAATGACCCAAGCCAATCCCTTAACAGAGTCTTACCAACTGAAGGCACTCAAAAAGTGTCTGCTGAATGACAACGGAACTGAGGCTGACTGAGCCAGACTGCCCAGTTTTGAACCATTTACATAGCAGTACGATTTCAGCAAGTTTCTTTACCTCTGTATGCCCTAGTTTCCTCATTTATAAAATGGGTGTAAAGGGATTAAATTATTTAACATATGGAAGCACTTGGAACAGCACCTGGAACACAGTAGATGCTATATCACTATGAACACATGCTCAGAAATAAAAAATGAAGTTGACTTGACTACAAATATTCTTGCATCATCTTATAGATTGTGGGGTTGGGTTCACAGTAGACAATAAATGCTGTTGCAAACAAAAATTGTTTTGACAGTCATAGTTTGTGCTTCACATACATCTTCCTTAATGACTTTAGTGCAGTAAAAGACATCCCCGGTAGCCCTCCTGAGAGTTAAAACTGGACAGGTGATAAATAAATGACAACAACTCTCCACTGTTCCAAAATATCAATTCTCAACATTTAGGTTTCAGTTATAAGAGAATTTCTTCTTCTTTCTCCCCCTTGCCTTTTTATTTTTTAACCTAGGAAGAGAGATACAAAGCTGGACTGTTTCAGAAACCCCTCTGATTCAAAGAATTTCAGTGTTAAGATCCACGATTTTGGCCAACCAGTCACAAGACAGTTATTAAATTAACATAAATTACCAGCAAACTTCCATATTGAACATATGGTTTATGAAAAGAAACCATGTGGATTTAATAAAAACAACTCATACTAAAATAATCTAATTTCTTTTTTTGATACTATTAGGGGAATGTAGGCAACGTGATTCTCCAGTTTCAGAAGAGTATGACAAAGCTTGAGAGCCAGCAGTCATGGGGGGAAGGAGGACTCTTTAAATGCTCAGATTGTACCTGGCTTGCCCTTATTTACCTCCTTGGTGCCAGGCACCCAGGAGATGCTTGGTGAGTGAATATGTCCCACACAAACTGAACTGAATACTCTCGACTGTTGATTTTGTTGTAAA